CCGCCGCCGAGGCCCAGGGTAGGTCGTCCGTCCAACTGCTCGCTCTCGCTTGAGGCAGCCCCTCCTTTGCCAAGATGCCGGTTGCATCGGGGGCATAGGGCATGCATGTAAACTGTTTTCATATAATGAATGCAGGGTGTTTCCAAGCGAGGATATTTAAGGAAAAATAATTACATGACTCAGAGGTAACCCAGAGTATTATGCTAATATTTATTACAAATAAATTATGTTAGCATAGTTAAGATTTTCGCAAGAGATGGAATCGGGAAATTTAGCGGAAATACATAAGATTATTAATGTAAAATCTTAAAAATGCAATGCCAGAAACGCCGTTTTGCCTTTTCAGAGATACCTTCAAGAATCAAAAATTTGAATACAGTAATTTCTATACTTCTGGCCTTGTATTTTCAACGCAGTAATATGTTATGAAATAAAGATCTGTAGCAAAAGTCGTACTGTTTGTTCCTTCATGACGAAGGAGATGGAGCGTCGGTGAGTAAATGTAGCGAGATTTCAGCCCGGCAGATGAGTGGTTGTCAGCTGGCAACGCCCACATTTCCACCAAAGCAAGTTGACGACGTTTTCTGTCATTTTCTCACAATATAAAATAATCTAAGTTTTATGTGTCGATATAATCTTGGATAATCGCCGGTATTCCCGCGGCATTTGCGGTGAGTAAAAGGTTATAACCCAGCAACCTCTCAGATGCTGCCAAGAGGTGTAGAGAGCTGATGGATGGCGAGCACTAACATATTAGTGATGGAAGGGAAACGGATTTTCATATGTACCATTAAGTAAGGGTTCTAGCGAAGTGTATCTCTCTCTCTCTCTCTCTCTCTCTCTCTCTCTCTCTCTCTCTCTCTCTCTCTCTCTCTCTCTCTCTCTCTCACTCTCTCTCTCTCTCTCTCTCTCTCTCTCTCATTCTCTCTCTCTCTCTCTCTCTCTCTCTCTCTCTCTCTCTCTCTCTCTCTCTCTCTCTCTCTCTCTCTCTCTCTCTCTCTCTCTCTCTCTCTCTCTCCTCTCTCTCTCTCTCTCTCTCTCTCTCTCTCTCTCTCTCTCTCTCTCTCTCTCTCTTTCTCTTTCCCTCTATGCTACATATCAGCACAGCTTATATATGGTGGTCATTAGAAGTCAGATCATATACAGTTGTACTGTTTATTATATAGATATTCACACATTATGTTCGTGCATGCATGCATCAGAGAGAGAGAGAGAGAGAGAGAGAGAGAGAGAGAGAGAGAGAGAGAGAGAGAGAGAGAGAGAGAGGGAGGGAGAGAGAGAGAGAGAGAGAGAGAGAGAGAGAGAGAGAGAGAGAGAGAGAGAGAGAGAGAGAGAGAGAGAGAGAGAGAATGGAGAGGGAGAGAGGGGGGGGGAGAGCCAGTGGAAATAGATAAATAAAAACTTAATGAATAGATAAATAGAGAAGGGGGTGCGGACCAAGCGAGAAAAAAAAATATTGATAGATAAATGGACAGAGAGACAGATAAATAGGTAGATGAGATAGATAGAGTGGGATGAGACAGACCGAGTGAGAAAAAAAGAAAGAAAGAATGATAGATAGATAGAGAAAGATAGGTAGAAGAAAGAGAGAGAGGGGGGGGGGATAAATAGATACGTAGAGAGGGGGTAGACCAAGTGAAAAAGAAAGAAAGAAAAATAAATAGATAGGTAGATAGACAACAGGCAGATAGACAGATAGAAAGATAGAAAGATAGAAATTGATAAAGAGATGGGAAAGACTGACACACACAAATACGCACAGCTTCATTAATACATAGCTGGATAGATTGTTCCTGTTGTGATAATGTAAGACTTTGATCTTCTCGTTACTTTCTCTTGTTGTGTGTTATTTTTGTCCCTGTAACCCGATCTTAATTGTAGCTGTCTGTCGACCTTTGGCTCTACCCTCTTGTATGCTGAGGATCGAGGTCCAACTCTTAAGGAATACTTTCTTGGAGTCAGTTCCCTTATCTCGGAAGGCATATCGCCATATTTGTAACAATCTTGCGTATAGACCCTTCCATCTGAGTACCTTTCTTGCAAGATGACTTCTCTTTTTTATACTTCTTTCGCTGTTGTTAGGTGGGGGGGGGGTTGCTTCTGTACCTAACTTCTTCCCTTGTCACATAGGCTAATGGCGGCCAGCACGTTTTGCAACATATTGTGTGGAGATGACGAGCCTTCTTCACTTCTAATTTCAACATCTGCAACTCCTGACCTGATTTTTCTTTTCCTGAAACTCTTTGTTCTTCTTTCAAGAGAAGAATTACAATTTACCAGTCGTATTATTCTTTCACTTTTTTTGCGACTGAAAAAAGGAAATCTTTTCGCTTCTAGACATATCCCCATAAGAAAATTCTGAATAGACGGATATAGATATCACTCAGTGAACTCCTTTTGGTACTTAGGAATTCCAGGGCGTCGTCTCAAAAGGAAAGTAACAATAAAAAATATATCTATAATGAAATACAAAAAAAAAGTTGCTTGTTTACCTATCGCG